TAACTCATAGTGTCAGATGCGGCAACATCTTTCTATCATTTTAAATGGCCGTTAACAATCGCGTATAAGTAGATAATTAAAGATATTTAAAAAATTCTAAAGAATACTTTTACATTAAAAAATATTTTATACGAGACTATATTTCGCGGGCAGATAGAAACGTAAACGGGAAAACTGTTATGCAATAAATTTTTGAAATAGAAGAGAAATATTTTTCATATGTCATACGCACGAATCGACAATCTCTCGGACATCTTGTTTTGAAAAACAAATACACATTCAAATTGCATGCAATTAACATGCAATTATTCAGTGATAATCGCATACGCAAGATTCTTGATCATTCAGTGTTATATGAGGTCGGGGATATCGACTTGGTTTTAATTCAGCAATTATATAGTAGATTTATCCTCTTTAATTTACGAGTTAACGATAAAACGATACAGGAATATTCCAGAAACGTAAAATATTGTAACAATCGCTTTAACTTTTCGAGAGAGCGAACGAACGATATACGTTCTGTCATAAGAAATACTTTAGTGCGAGAACTTCTTTGCAATACACGATACGGTTTTGAATGTAAAATCCGACATAAGAGGCTATCTCTTTGTTCCTGCATCCGCGCACCATATCATACATTTAGAAGAAAATCAATACCGATATTCGTATTCGTCTAGATGCATTAAAGCGCGATACTTCACTTTCGCTCAATCGGGTTATTCGTCGAAATACTCGATAAAATGTTTGCAGCTAAAAGAAAATAAACGTTACGATGCGGTTTGCGTTACATGTAAATGATGCTGTTTTCTTTACTATCGTAAGTATCCAATTTCTCCGCGAATACCGGAAAATCCATAAGAAACTGAGACCGTTCGACGTAATATACGTGCCACCAAAACCGGTATGCGGAATATTTTAATACCTACATCCGATCTTACTAACTCGGCAGACGTAAAGATCTACGATTTGTAGCGAATATTGAATACCACTATGTATGCGCAACTGCGTTCGGCGTCTGCAATTGCAAGTCGCACTCGTTTATCCACATCGTCCGACAAGAACATATTCTTCCATCGAGAGCTTACAAAAGCGATACAAAAGGTTTATGAGCTCGATTTACATTGTAAAATAAAGAACAATTAACAAATATTTTTTTGTAAAAAATTATTCTTCCGACTCGTTCGACATAAAATCTGATAAACTAGTTTGCAATTTTTTAAATACATAAAGAAATAAATATTTTTCATTATAAATCATAAATCTTGCAGAAGAAACGATTTTCTCCTGAAATAAACGCGGCGATAATAAAGATCAAGTAGATAATTTATCCAAATTTTTTCACGTATTTTTTAATTTATCAGTAAATAAATCACATATTTAATTTTTCAAACATGACATATTTAAAGATCCACAAAAATTCAGAATATCCTATTTTGCCGGAGGAAAAGGTAAATTTATCTACGATATCTGTTTCGCGGACAACATAAAATCACATGAACGATATTACGCACATGTCAATCAAACGTTGTCATGTTTTTACGTCAGTGTACCGAAGTGCTCGAAGGTACCTTTGCCTCCATTACATAGCAACGTATGCATCAGCGCTACCTTCGATATTAGCTCAAAGAACTGTTATATGGTTCACGTCTGCATCAAAGTAATATTCGTACGGATATTAAATGCCTATACACACGTCCAGCACACTCGCTCGTTTTTTTCTCTCGAGGTCCATCTCGAGATATTTTCCAGTCACGATCATTCGCAACGAGCAATCGATCGTTGCAAATTGAAATAAAGAGAAATAACTACAAGAAAATCATTTATAGAGAATAATTCATTTTCCTGTGCAAACGAAATCATTTACGAATATATGTATATACAGAATCTTAAGTGTTTAATTAATAAATTGATAATAATAAAAATTTATTTAATTAACAAATGCAAATTAAAAACCTAAAGTATGCGAAAGTATCGAGTAAAAATTGCGTTATAATTTGTAACATTGAGAAAAAGTATTACGTTATCAAATAAATTTAAATAGATAAATGCGTATTGATAAATTGTATTGTAAAGTATTTTTGACATCTTTCTCGCTAATTACTTGCGCTTTCAATGTGCAAGATAATATTTTTAGCGTAATAAATGCAAAACACAAGAGAAAAATAAAAATAATTATGACATCTACGGAAAAGCTTTCAACAAGTGTCAACAGTTTTAATAAAAATACGTATATAAAGCTGCCGCGTCAGTATTTCATTTTGCTTAAATTAAATGTGGCGACAGAAGAAGAAATGATACAAGTTCAGACCTTTATCGATACGCGCACCATTGTTTAAACATTATCGAAGCAACGAAATGAGTACTAGAGAGTTCGCGGCTTTCCTATCATAATATGTTCTTCCCTTACTTCTATTTAATATCCGCCTTGGTCGCGGTACGCTTCGGTAGCGGTATTACATTATCGCGGAGTTTCAGTCCCCTTGCGCGAAGCAAGAGAATTATCGCGCAATTTTATCTCGAGAACTCGTTTGCATACTTTTTGCCGATGGCAAAATCCGCTTAGCGACCCTTAGAAGAAGACAATACGCCCTCGTCTAGGATGAACAAGTATAAACAGGCAATCAGGTCCGGCCCCAAATTCGAAATAGTAAGATAAATAATTTGATAGAATGATGCTAATTGCGATACCGAGAACACCTACTGCGGTAAAGAGATAACAAGGAGCCCATTAGTGTAACGAGGTCGACTAGCCAAATCCATTTTTGCACAAAGTTCCACCGCGCAATAATGAATGCTAATACAGTTACGTGACGCACATGTTCCTGTCAGTTATGGGACTTTAAATTGTTTCGAGTCGTGCTAAGGATTTAAGATGTAGATATAGCCATGCTGGGATATAACAAGATCTGTACGTTCAGTGTTCTATAAGATTTACAAAACATTGTTGAACAATTACAAGATTGAGATATTAACTAAGAAATTAAAGATTAAGTCGATTGAGAGAAAAATTTGGAAATGTTATTTATGCCAAATTATAATAATAATATATTGCAAATTAAATTGATAATATAAAAAAAGCAATAAAATTATATATTAAAATTGTACGCAAATGTATTAAAGTACATAAATCTGTTATATCATTACGCGTTTTGCTCAATTTAATAATTTTTTATAAAAAAACTAAGTCTTTTAGATATGTAAAATTGCATGAGCAATCTTTAAGCTTTTTGGACGGCAGATAGTTTTAAGATAACAAAATTATTTACACTAAAAATTGTAATTTAAAATTCTTGTGTAAATATTGCAAGATAGAAATGATCAATATTAAACTAAAAATAAAAATTTTTGTATAGGTACTACCTCCGCTATAAAATGATCGTGAGAAAGCTGACAGTGACACAGTTACCGCGGAAGAGCTTCGATCAAAGTAATGGCTAAGTATTATTACGACATGAATCCACTTTGATTGGACGCGCACAGCGTTCGTTTGATTACGGTAATAATCTGCACGATATTGTGAATACGCTTGAATTGCGTAAATTGAAACTGTCAAGGTTTTTCGCAAATAAGTCATAATTTAAAGTTCTGCTACCTTTTATCGATAAAAATATTATATCGTGAGTTTCATGTTACGATACAAATATAAGATATATTAGAAAATTATATTTTCAAAAATAAATACATCAAAAATTGAAAAGTTTGTCCAAATAAATTTACAGATAAGCAAATTGATAAACTTTATTTAATCTCACATTTTCATTAAAAATCTCAAAATTTCTGTTGCACAATAATTTATGCAAATATTAAAAAACTCGAAAGTTATAAAAATACACAATAGTTTATGCAAATATTAAAAAACTCAAAAGTTATAAAAATAAAATAAAAATCATATTTTTGTAATTGACTTTAAGTTAAAAAATAAAATTTCCAATATATCTTACATTGTCAAAATAATAAAATATATAATTGTAATTGTATTCGTAATTAATGAATAAAGTAATAACGTAATTCTGTTACATCATATAATCAAGTAGTAGTAAAGAAAAGCCTACAACAATAAGAGAAACCATTCTATATACCATATCTGTTTTTCAGTATTATTCTTTGATATACATATAGTACTACTATTAGAGAACGACTATGTCGGAATTTTTCATAAAACTGTGCTTATCCACAATTGCGAATCCATAAATTGTGGGTCAAAAGTACAATATCGTATATGGATTTAATAATAATATAGTGTAGTTATGTACAACTTTACAACAGATGCAGCAAAATTCTTTTGCTGTCGATAAATATGAATAAGAAGACTACAAAAATTAAAACTAGTGCATTGCAAAAAGAAATATAATTCATAATTAATAACCGTGTCAACAGAATTTTTTATTATATAAATTAATTGAAATACATTATAAAATATATAATGTACATTTGTAATTTATATTTATATCATATAAACATTTTGAAAAATTTTCTGACAATGAATATTATTTCTTTGCACCAGGTTGCATAATATTTAATCTAGAGAGAATCATAAAAATCAAACATTTAGGTATTACATCTATTTAGGAAAAATTTAAAGAAGAAAAAGAGATTTTCTTCATATAAAAATACATACAATGTTTTGCTTTGATCTTCGTTATATAAGTATATAACATATAGGCACATTATAAAATAATTTGAATGAAATCTTTATATTTTGAAACTGTTATTCGTCATAAATTTATTTTATTTATATTTATTTTCTAGGTTTTTTACGAGTAATGAAACGACATAATTGCATTCTGGGTTAAATATCAATTCTATCTGTTCTATCCATTTTGAGGCAATGGATCTATACAATATTGCATTTGTTAATCATATTTTTACATATTCTTAATTTAAATGTTTTAAGCCATTTATCTTCTTAAGCCAAAACTATGTATGTATATGTATGTATAATATTTTTGCAGATCCATTACCTTAAAAATTGAAACAAAGATAATTTTCTCTTAACTTACCTGTACATGATGTGAAACAGCAGAGTTGTAGTTTATGTTGATCTGCAAAATACAAAGATATAGATAAATATTAGTAGCGCTCAAAATAATTAATATTTTACAAATATTTGCTTGAGTTTTTCATGCACTTTTTAAACAAATATTTAAAAAAATAATTTCACACGTAATTATCGAAAAAAATGTATTTCTTACATAAATATTCAAAATGATTTTGTATGAATTGCGTTATATAATGACGACTGACCATCGTGGTAATAAACGATAAATATCTCTCACGCAAGAAAAAAAAAAGAATAAATAATAAATTACTCACTCTATAGTTGCTCCGCTGTCGCCTGACACCCCCTGGGCCTGCTCCTCCTCTCAGATTTATCGATGTTATAGCACTTTTATGGCACGAATCGCGAAATATCATTTATTATAATCGTGCGACATTTTGATACGACAGTCTCGATTACGTACTTAAAGAAATACTCAGCGAACACGGAACTACGAACCGTTCGACACTAGTGGTGTACGAAACAGGTAGTAACGACAAAGAAAAATCGAAAATTTTACGGGTAATTTTGTGCGCAAACAATAAATCTATATTATTCGTACGAAATCTTTTAATATATTAAGAATCACGGTCGCGTTTCCCTACGCGTTCGAGGGTATGTAGAAGAATAACAGCAAGGCACGATAGAACTCAAGTAAATAGTAGCACACGCACACACACTCACACACGCTCTCACGGCACAGAGCGAGCCCAAACCAAAACAAACCTCGAGCGCTGTGGATTTCCAAGTATTGCGCGTCATAAAATAAATTCCGTATTATAAGATAAAATATTTTCTATTTTTCATTCGTTCTAAATTTTAATTTTGACAATTTGCGTTACTATCGCATCTTTTACACCATTTTTTATACCTTTATTAGATTTATTAGTACTCACTTGTATAAAATAATAATCAATTCCGCTTGCAAAATTTTTATTTAGGGGAGTTAATTGTTGTGTTATGCTACATTGACGATTCTATACAATAAAGGTGTAAAAGATGCAACAGTAAATTATGGCACAATTAAAATGCAAGGAACAAAAGATATATTATCTTATAACATGCAATATATTTGCAAATACAAAGATATTTCGACTTTTATAACTTGGTATGTTGACGCTTAGTTCTCGGTGTTTGTTTTTGTTTGCTTTTGTAGCGATACGGCGTAAATACTATTCTAGAGTCACTATTCTAGAGTCACTATTCTCTAGTCACTATTTTTGAGTATCACAAGATCAGTATCAGTTTGAGTATCATTATCCTCTCAGTATTAAATATTATATAAACTTGTAAATAAGTAATATCTATTTACAAAAGAATTTTTGAAAATGTGTATATTATAAGTATAAATTAAAGATAAACAGCAAATATTTTACATTATACATTATTTATATAAAATTTATATAACTAGTTTATACAATTTATTACTAATTTATTTAATATAAAAATCCATTTGTGGTTAATGAATATTAATTGCATTTATTCTTGCAATATACCAGTTTTATGCTAATCTTTCTTAGCTCTTCATTCATATTTATTTGTAGCAAAGTATTTGCATTCGTTTTAGAGTTGAAACTACACTATATTATGTTATACTATTCTATATGCGTGTATTTCTGATCCACAATTTATTGATTCACAATTGTGAATTAGCACGTGTATATATATTATATATATGATTGGAAATCCACACGCTCGATGTTTGTTTGATTTGGATTCTGGCCGCGCGAGCGTGTGTGTGCGCGTGTACCACTATTTACTTGAGTTCTATCGCGCCTTGCTGTTATTCTTCTACGTACCGTCGAACGGGCAACATGCGTAGGGAAACGCGACCGTAATTCTTAACATATTAAAAGATTTTGTACTTGTAATAATGTAGATTTATTGTTTGCGCACAAAATTACCCGTAAAATTTTCGATTTTTCTTTGCCGTTACTATCTGTTTCGGATACCACTAGTGTCGAACGTTCGTAGTTCCATGTTCGCTGGGTATTTCTTTAAATACGTAATCGGGAGTGCCGTATCAAAATGTCGCGCGATTACAATAAATGATATTTCGCGATTCGTGCCATAAAAGTGCTATAACATCGATGAATCTGAGAGGAGGAGCAGGCCCAGGGGGTGTCGGGCGACAGCGGAGCAACTATAGAGTGAGTAATTTATTATTTATTCATTATTTTTTTTCTTGCGTAAGAGATATTTATTATTTATTACCACGATGGTCAGTCGTCATTATATAACGCAATTCATACAAAATCATTTTGAATATTTATGTAAGAAATACATTTTTTTCGATAATTAAGTGTGAAATTATTTTCTTAAATATTTATTTAAAAAATGCATGAAAAACTCAAGCAAATATCTATAAAATATTAATTATTTTGAGCGCTACTAATATTTATCTATATCTTTGTATTTTGCAGATTAACATAAATTACAACTCCGCTGTTTTGCATCATGTACAGGTAAGTTAAGAGAAAATTATCTTTGTTTGAATTTCTAAGGTAATGGATCTGCAAAAATAATATTATACATACATATACATACATAGTTTTGGCTTAAGAAGATAAATGGCTTAAAAAATTTAAATTAAGAATATGTAAAAATATGATTAGCAAATACAATATTGTATAGATCCATTGCCTCAAAATGGATAGAACAGATAGAATTGATATTTAACCCAGAATGCAATTATGTCGTTTCATTACTCGTAAAAAGTCTAAGCAAAGAAATATAAATAAAATAAATTTACGGCGAATATAACAGTTTTAAAATATAAAGATTTTGTTCAAATTCTTTTATAATGTGCCTATATGTTATATACTTATATAACGAAGATCAAAGTAAAACATTGTACTTATATATTTTCATAAAAAAAAATCTCTTTTTCTTTTTAAAATTTTTCCTAAATAGATAAAGTACCTAAATGATTTTTATGATTCTCTCTGGATTAAATATTATATAAACTGATGCAGAGAAATAATATTTATTATCAGAAAATTTTTCATAATGTTTATATGATAGAAGTATAAATTACGAATATACATTATGTATATTTTATAATGTGTTTAAATTAATTTATATAATAAAAAATTCTGTTTACACGGTTAATAATGATGAATTATATTTCTTTTTGCAATGCACTAGTTTTAATTTTTGTGGTCTATTTATATTTATCGACAGCAAAAGAATTTTCCTGCATCTGTTGTAAAGTTGTACATAACTACACTATATTATTAAATCCATATACGATTGTACTTTTGACCCACAATTTATGGATTCGCAATTGTGGATAAGCACAGTTTTATGAAAAATTCCGACATAGTCGTTCTCTAATAGTAGTATTATATAAACTATGAGTATTACAAATGTGTAACTTGGTTTGCCGTTAGTTAGGAGATAAATATTTGCCAGTATTTAGCTATTATCGTTGTAGCTCGTGATGCCAGTGTGTTTTTAGTATTTGAAATATTGCTTTCGTTCAATCAAACAAGAAACTTTTAAAAATGTTGGTAACAATATTATTTATATGGAAGAAATTATTTTAAAAACATCTTTATTAGAATTAATTATAAATATAAAACAACTTGATTTAAAAAAATGATTAAGCCTATTTTTCATTTTTCACATCCATGTAATTAATTTTTTTCATATAAATAATAATGTTACAGTATTTTATGGCAAAATATTTTTTTATATATAAAATATGTCCTTTAGACATGATTACGTAAATAATAAGACATTTTTAAATTATTATATTAATGCATAACTATCAGTAACCGAAAGCTATGTTGTGACGGAATTTTCTAACACACTACACATGATTACATTCTGTATTTTGCAATATTATTTGGGAATAAAAACACACTTATATATAAGCGTGCAATCTGAATAGTCGTTAAACAAAGGATTATTATTAGTATCAAATATAATGTTTATTACCATATTTTTAATATTTATAACATTGCTACTATATCATCGAAGAAAAAGTTTTGCCAATTGCAAACAATGATAGTTTATTATAGGAAATACAAACTAGAAAAAGGAGCTTTGTATTTCCATGAAAGTTATATTTAAGAGAATGCTTAAATAAGTCACAACATTTTTCTCTGACTTGTTTTAACTATGTTATGTCTCAAAATAATGTGCTGCATTATCGAGATCTACGGTATAATCAATGTTTCGCAAATACTATCTTTTGTTCTAACCAAGAACAATTTAATAAAATATAAAATTATTAGAAAAGGATGATATAGTTACAAATAAAAAAGAAGTTATCGCATTTTTCGTCAGTCTAAAATCATATTTTTTTGTACGCAATTGGAAGAATAGTAGAAAAAACTAGGATATTTGTAATTTCTTAAAGAAGATAGCTTTAAACCAATATTTGCTTTATTCGCAAATTTTCTTTATGTGAATTTGCAATGACAGATTATAAATGCAAAATGAGGACAAATTTAGAAAATCCGCGGAAACGTGCGAGTTATTTTAAAAAGAGAATACATCAAAATTTAAAATATTTACTCTCTTGGTTCGCATATTACATATGTCATTTCTTGTGGATTAAACTGGTTTGCTATATAAGTATTCTGTGCAAGCACAACAAATGAATAGCTAGCACAAAGCTATTTATGTATGAGTTAAGTTCAAAGGATGACCGTAACAGTGGACTTGCAGGGAAGCCGCTGACCAGTTAAGACAAATTCGGCTGTCTCGACGCTAACGTAGACACGTACGCGTGCGCGTCCATAACTATCGTTAACTCAATTAGTCGAATCTATAGGCAGCCCGTACTTCCACGGTAGCGCACTACCGTTTGATCACGTACCGAAACTTCATCCCTAGAAGATTCCGAATCGCGAGTAACTGCTTTAGCGATTGCGACTCATAGCAATTTCGTGTCACGGTGTAAACGTTAAAAGCGATTTTATCTCACAGAAGCTGTGATTATGCAAATTTAACGTAATATAAAATAATTATATAATTCCGATTTTTAAAAGCGTGTCTTCTTTTTATTGATAAAATGATGAATAATTAATAATTATTTTAAAAATGTATTCTCTATATTATAAAAAAATAAGAATCAATTTATAAGCAATAAAAAGTAATTAATTTTCTATTATGATAAGTAAAAATTTATAAAGAGATTCATGATTACGAAGTAAATCTGAATAAAATATATTTGACAGTAAAAATGATTATTTTAGTGATCCTAGTACCAAAAATTTTGTTTGCTTTAAATTTTCTTAACGTTTATCAACATTTGTATTGTTTATTCATGATTTATGATTCATGATTAAAAATTTAGGTATATTTTACTCTATCTCCAATTTCATATGTTATTAGAGACGTTATAATTTTACCAAAATATCACTATATTAATATTAAATATTATTTGCATAATTTAATTTTGTTGTAATCTATTTTACAAATAAAAATATTTTTTTCTGAATGTTTATTTTATCTTTTTATTATTGGTCAAATTTATATATTTTTGATAGTAAAAAATAAAATATTCCACGCATTTTAGTTTTTCTACTGTTATACTAGTCGCAAAAAATATGATCACTGCGATACGCTCCGGGAAAATTTTGCAATACTGTTTTACCACCATTCATTAAAAAATTCTCGTCAAAACGTCCAACGATATTGATTAGATGTCATATCGAGAAAATAGTGTAAAACTACGCATCTCGTAAGTTGTAATTTTGTTTCGGGGACTTTATACTCTATTTCGTTAATATTAGTATTTCGATTTATCTTTATTTTAATAAAATTATTTTGGAAAATATTTTGTTGCATATTATGATTTTTTCGAGAGTTGCATCAAAATCATTATAACATAATTGAATATATCCTTATTCACAAAAACAATGCTATTAAATGTATAAATCCGATCAATCATGTAGCTTCAATTTTTGTTGAAAGCAACAGCATACATTGAACAAACAGGAAATAATTACCATTATAATTTCTATTATAAATTTGCCAAAATGTCAATTACCATCACATATATAATTATTTAAATGAGAAATGATTTAGTTATGATGCACTTATGAATTAAATTAACTTCAAGTATTTATAGTATGTGTAGATTACATTATTCAATGGAAAATTGTTCCTTTCCGAAAGCAGAATATAAAAAAATATATCTCAGTCATCATAAACCAAAATATGGACAGCCTAAGTCGCATTTACTGATGCAATCTCACGGGATACGCGCAAACAACGCACGTACGTCCGTCCTATAAGCGTATTCTCATGCAAATGACACGCGGCGGCACAACGACAACGACAATGACGACACGACGACCGACACCGAGATCGTGATCAACATTTCTCTTACCTGTTACGCGTGGAAGGTAACCACCTTCCCCGGGGTTTCTCCGTTGCAGCATCGGTTGCAGCAGCTACGGTGAAACGTCGTTTGGCTCGTATCGGTCACGTGCGCCATAGCCGGGGAATCGCTTTCGCGGCGACTCTGCAATGATATCGGAAACGGGTAAACATCGATACCTGCTCATTGTGTCGCGGGCAACACAATCGCGGAACAGCGCGCGTGCCTGTGAGAGCACGCTGCCGCTCGTTCACGTTGCGCTACCTGCGATACCTGCATTCGTATCTTGACGTATCTTTGGCCTCTTTTCCCCGCTTTATGTGACGCGATAACAGTCGCGAGCACAACGATGGCCAGCTCGGGTTTGCGTAACTCAAATCGGATCAATAGTTACCGCGATTTCGATCGGCAACTGTCTCATTTCGATTACCCTTATCACGTACTTCAGCATTTGCATCTCTCCCGAGTTTGTTAAAGACTAAAGATTTGCGCTTCTTTATATGCTATTTTCAAGATGCTCGAATGGGCGGTCGTTTACATATAATATTCTTTCATACAAATTCTGTTTGCATTATGAGTTAAGTTAGAAGGTACTTTAAAATAACGCGACTACTTTGTCATCTTTTACTGTTTTTTGTTTCAAGAAGTTAAAGATAAATTTCAACAATTAAAATCTGGAGAAAAGCTGCTTCTTTCTTAAATATTTTCAAAATATTTAATTCAGTGACACTTTCATTAATAATTCTTGTTATTAATAATACGTATAAAGTGCGAAATATGAAATCATTATTTATTTCCAATTTATTTATTTTATATATGTATGTATATACGTAATTTTATATAATTCTGTAAATGTAAAAAAATATAGAAAATATTATATAGAAAAATTGTATACTAAAACGTTAATAGAATTAATAAATTTAATCTTTTACACTCTAACATTGTTGCAGCTAAAAATGGTAAAGTAAGAAATACTTTTATTTATATAATACAGATAAACTAAGAGGAAAGTGATTAAAATTTTTTTATCTAGTTTCACAATTCTACGATTAATTATTCGTTGTTTATATCAGATTATTTTATCTTGCAACGGTGCTTCTAAAGTTAATAATTGCAGTAGACTATTTC